AATTAGTTAGGGGATAAGTGCGAAAAAGACGGATTAGTTGGAATAGGGAACGGATGAGGGATGGGTGTATTTTAATTGAACTAACCTGAATTTAGGTAAAAAAAAAATTTACAAATTTAATTGAGGTTGCCAATTTAATGATTCGAACTCAACGATAAATGGGATTTACATTGATGTGTGCATTTGTTCATGAAAACAGGTGACTGACATTATAGGGAGTAAAGGTTTTTAATACAATTCTATGTTTCCAGTAGAGTTAATTTATTTTTAACGTAGGTATAGTATGTGAGAACTTTTTAGCACATTGTAACGGCATTTCAGTTGACTGCAGTCTGTCGTGGAATTTACAGAATTGGTCAACATATTATTGAAAACGACAATCAATTTACCGATGATAATGGATGGAATTATGAAAACCTCTTTAGTTTAAGAAGTAAAGTCTGTGCATTCATATATAGATCTGACCAAGATCTGTGGATCAAGTTATTTAGAAAGGTGGTATGGAAAACTGTGTAAAAACGCTTTTGAGAAAATGATTTCAACTAGCACCGCGCAGTTGATCGTGATTTATATTGTACTTGATTTACGTATCTTTCATTTTGGCAGATGTTTGTGTTTGAAAAAACGATCGTCAGATGCAATAGTTTGGGGGAAAGATTTCGTCCTGTAACTTTCGTTTCAAGAATTTTTTTAAAACTTTCTATTCTTCAAATTACTAAATTTTCTCATTTATCTATCCAGTTAAAGTCTCAAGCTTAAGGAAACTACATTATAGCTTTTATTTTGAGTATTTGTAGATACGTATTGAGCTGGACTTTGGACAATACTGATTCACTTCTAACCTAACAGGTCGTTTTATTATTCAAAAAAAATATAATAATAAAATTGTACTAATATTTTTTTCTTATTCTGCGTCTTCAAACTTTGGCATAATTAAGTTTTTTGTTTAAATAACTTAAGTGTGTAAATAGTAATAAATATTACAATCAACTAAATCTTAATTATTAGATATCATCTTACAATTTTGTAATAAAAACTGTTTTTATATTTACATAAAATTTTATTACGTTTTTCGACTTTAATATTGGCATAATTTTTTTTCCAGGCATTATAAAAACTATTACATTGACAACGCTCTATATGAATTCTATGTGGTGGCCTCCAAATAGCACAATTACTGCTTTTCTGAATCAAGCGATATTCTTGCTTTTCTCAACATTAGCCACATGTAATTTTGCATTAGCTACCCTAACAGGTCCCGGAATACTACCAAGAAAATGGCAACCAAAGGTGAGTATCTACTTTATTTACTTATTCATTTGCGTTTTTTTTTTTATTGAAAAATTGTAAATAAGTTTTTTAGTTTAGTATGTCAAAATAAATTACTTTGAAGCTAAAAAGGCAACAAAATTCTTCGTAATGCCTAAATATCCTTTAACTGATAATTATTCCCACGCAAGCCATATATGTTTATGGGCTACTGAAACGTCTATAGTGATATTGAGGCCGAATAAATAATAGGCTTCATTTCATGAAAGCGTCAATATATATGTATACCGATGTGTATGAATATAACATACATCTACTTTCAACTATTTTTTTCTAAGTGCTTACATTAAATTCTGATTTGAAATTTTTATGACCCATAAAGTGTTGCTAAATGAATGTAGGTAAATTCAGACGTCAATAACATCCAAATGTTATTGTTTTTGGAAAAGTTTAAATATTTATGGAATACAAACATGAATTCAGATACATATCACATATATACTATATATAGTGAAATTAAAATATAAAATTTTATAATTTAATGGTGTATAAATTTAAATAATCAACCCTCAAGGTAATGAGCATTATACTTTTTAGTAATTTATGTTTGGTTGGGCAAAAAGTATTCGGTGTTTTTCTGTTCGCCTGATCAAAAACTTAATAACATTGTTGCTAGCATCTTGTTACTTTTTTGTTTGACAGATGATAACTTAACTTATTAATCACTGAAAAATTTATTGAGATCGGTTCTTCATTTTAAAGTTATTTTAAAACAAATATAGGTGTCTTTAAAAAAAAAAATTTAGTTCATATTTTATTGTCATTTGCCTACAATAAAGAAAATAATGTGGCACAAACGGTCCAAAGACTAATTCAGTTTTAGTTATAAGTACTCATTGTAATTTATTGTCAGTAAATAGTTCCGTCGTTATTGTTCTAAAAATTTGAATATTTCAGCGAGAAAAATGTCATAGATTAATAGGTTTTTATACCTTACGACCATATCTAATATGTATGGTCATCATCATGTTACAGATGAACCACTGATCCTTGACAAAAATTTTGAACTACACTTGGTTTAATTTTGTTTTGAATTTTTTTAAGTCATTACGTCGAGAATATTTCTAATATTAGGGATTCTCCTGAAGAAAGCAAAAGCGAATTTGCCGAAATACGTATAGGAATATACAAAAAAATACGATCGAAGTGAAAGTAAAAATCCTAAAAAACAAAACCGGCTTTACACTTGGTTGTTGAATTTAATGATGAGTGACTCTGCGATATGTAGTCGTATAAAAATTTAGTTTTGCAAGTTTTTCTCGTTTGCTATTATTGTTAATTAGCATGCATTTGTCGGATGTCATGCGGAATTTGAGATGTTTCTTGTAAAAGTCTCTTATCCCAAACATTAGCAATAGAGTTTCATCACTCCTTTTCGTCAATCCATGTTTTCGTTTTAATAATAATACGTAAGTATTTCCATGGAGGAACTATATTTAATATATTATTATATATTAAATATATTTCATAACAGTCTTATATAATGGACTTGTATTTTCTCAAAACTATACCTTGTTTTTAGTAAAGTTGTTAAAATATCTTCGCATATCATCTCGCAAAAAAATAAAGAGACAATTCATGTGTTCACATCAATATTAATAAACAACTATTACCACAGGGACCTATTGTTGATATACTATTTCATGATAGTTTTACATATTTGTGTTGTATTATCTTCGAAACTATACCTTCTCGAAATATTTTTATCTATCATCTCTCGAAAAATCGTAGCTTTATATATCATGATGTTGTCAAGTTGTTCAAGTATTCCATTATAAACCCAAAATGAGCCCAAATGATGTTTGGCTTTGTTTTACTGATGGCTCATACAGAGATATATGCACTCTAGTTCAGATTTGTTTTATTCTCCTCATCGTCTGCCCCTACCTCCATCATCTTATTTCACACCTAATCAAATTCTACCATTTATTCTTCATTAAAACTGCACTAGCTTGATAGCCTGCCAAAGTGTCAAGTTGTTTTATTTGTAAAAGCAATATTGTATAAAAATGTTTATATTGCACGATATTTTAAATTTTTAAAATGAATTTATTTCGTGCGATATATCACACTAACCTCCCAAATGGGTCCCAAACGTACGACGTGCACACACTTCTATTGCATATGCACTGCACTATTAAAACTGCATGATTGTTTTGGCTTCACAAATAAGGACAAATCGCTGAATGGACTAAAACGTCCGTCTACATTCCTCCGCTGTCTATTTATCCAACAGACCAAACATGGTCTGATCAGTGTCGCCCTTCCCTTAATCCACTCCTTGTCTGCTAAAAGTTGGATATACCGCTCTCATCAACCCGGCATCTTTTACAACCGTCGTCTGCAACATCGCACCACGATATCGAACACCGCGCAATATTTTCACCGATGCTTTGTCGACCAAAGATTCCCACTCAGAAAAGCATTTTTCTTTAAGGCTTCTCCCATCATCTATGCCACAAAACAGTATTTTCAGCCTATTTACTTTTTCGCTCTCATTAAGGAATTAACCCATATCCTGCATCTCTTATTCTGTACTAGTCACCACAGCTACGGACACGAATCAACCCTACTGACAAACTTAACACTCCTCTGCACACGCCAATCTCGAGATTTACGCCGCATATACCGCGAATATCACGTATACAACGCGGATTATCTTGCATTAACAAAACTCTCGGCTCAACCATACAGACACAACTCGCAATCTCCAATTTATCGACCTACATTCAAGTCTCCCCGGAAGAACCCTTGCGCGTATCATTTTCTCATCATATTATATATCTTACACAACACTATCATTATCAGCGCAAGAAGGCCCAACCCATACGAGTAACTAGGGCACTTATCACGCATATACCCATAAATTAAGTCTCCAGGAACATTTCATCTTTACACTAACCCCTACTAACAGTTTCAAGGACTCAGTTGCAACGTAAATTGTATACCTAATTATGTAGGAGTTAATTTAATATTTTTGCTCCTGTAATTTGTATAGTTAAATGTATATACTTAAAATATTTTTATTTATCTGTATTAATTAAAGAATTAATTTTGTTAAGCTAACTAATAGTTTGAAATAGTTAATCAACTTAATTAATTGAAATGAGTTTTAATATTTTATAATTACCATATGGCATGGTCTAAATAATGACAATAGTTGCAACTATTGTGTCTACAATTTGAAACTATTGCTCGTTTCCTATCGTCATCAACCTAACAAGCTGCCACGACTTTTAAGAACACATCCTTTTTATTTTCCCTAACAGAAGTCAGTGCCTTAATAAGTTATAGTTCTTTTGGAATCCAAATACTTCAACAATTTCATCTCTCGAAATAACTAGTACTGAATATACTACAGGGATAGATTTGAATCCGTTATGATGATTTCGTTATTACATCTGCACTGTCAACTAACCGCGTAAAGTTTAAAGTTTCACAAGAAGTAATCGGATATATTGGTTTTACCTGCTTTTCAATTTACTAAAATATGTATTTGAGATTATTATTTTCATTTAGTTGGCCATTACAGACGTTGGTCGTCCTTGGCCGCGTCGAGTAGCCT